GGTCACCGGAACCCGTCAAATTGCTCGGGGCGATCTCCACAACCTAATTAGAGACCCCGACGCTTGCCCGGAGCTTTACACCACAATGATTGAGCTCCGAACACCACCAACCATCTAGGGCGCCAAGGCACCCAAGAGGAACAAGCTCTAGGGTGCCCAAACACCCAAGAGTAATAAGCTTCTCAAATTTCACTTCCACGTATCACCGAGGAGAATTCAAACCGATGCACCAAATGCAATGGCAAGGGCACACGGAGTGCCCAAGTCCTTATCTCCCAAATCCTACCAAAGCAACTAATGCTAGGGAGGAAAATGAGAGGAAGAACGAAAGAAGAACACGAAGAACTCCAAGATCTAGATCTAAGGGGTTCCCCTCACTTAGAGGAGAAAGTGATTGGTGGAAACGTGGATCTAGATCTCCTCTCTCTTTTCCCTCAAGAACTAGCAAGAATCTTTGGAGGGATTGAGAGTTAGCAAGCTCAACAATGGGGGAAGAACACGAGCTCAAAGGATAAGTCTCAATGGGGAAGAAGACCCCCTTTTATAGGTGGGAATAAATCCAACCGTTATCCCGTCACTCAGCCCGCACAATGCGGTACTACCGCACGGAGCTGCAGTACTACCGCGGTTGGCTGCGGTACTACCGCTGCAGGTTGCGATACTACCGCATGTGCAGCACTGGCCAGATGAAGGCCTGTTGCACAGGGCAACGAGCGGTAGAACCGCCGGAGCGGTACTACCGCGCGCCCCTACGGTACTACCGTAAGGCAAGCAACACCAGGCGCAGAGAAAGCACGAAAGTAAAAAATTACTTCCGTACCTACTTCCGCTGAGGGAGGACCTGCGCAAAAATTCGACACGGTACTACCGCACACGAAGAGCGGTACTACCGCGTAGGGCGCGGATGTAAAAAATTACATCCATCCCTACTTCCGCTCATGCTGCTAAGCCTAGCCAGAGCCCACGGTACTACCGCGCCCGCGGCGCGGTACTACAGCGTAGGGTGCGGATGTAAAAAAATTACATCCGCCCCTACTACCGCTCGAGCAGCTGTGCCTGGCCTAAGGTCACGGTACTACCGCTCCCACAGAGCGGTACTACCGTGTGCACCTGCAGTACTACCACAGGGGACTGCGGTACTACCGCAAGGGCCTGTGGTACTACCGCTCCGGAGAGCAGTACTACCGCATGCCCCATATCAACAACACTAGGAGTCCTTCATTTTGTAGAGAAGACAACAGAGGGAAACAATAAAACCAGAACTGCCATAACTTCTGCAAATGAGCTCCGAATTGAGAAAACTCAAGCTTGTTGGATAGAGGAAGACGAGTAGCATCAAAACAGCAACTTGTTATAGTAAGAAGAGGCAGGGGAGGTAGCTTAACAAACAAAGGAGTGAAACCTCCAACAGAGAAGAACCGGCATACCCTCCAACACCGAAAACATCATAGAAGAAGCATGTGAACTCCGTTTTCGATGAACTCGAGCTTGTCATAAAAATGACCATAAGCTCCAAATCTCACAAGGAGAAGAACCAAACAATAACCAATAAAGATGATGCAAGAATGCAATGGTTTGAGCTCTCTATGAACGATACGATCAAGCAACTCATCGAGAGCCCCCCTTGATAGTACGACAATCGATCCTATAACCCGGTCTCCCACAACTACCATGAGACCGGTAAAATAGAAAACCTATCAAGGGCAAACCTTTGCCTTGCACAAAGTCCACTTGAGCTAGATGATGACGATCTACTCCTCCTCAAGATGGACCACCTTTCTTGATTGCGTTGGCTCGATGAAGACTAGTTGATTGCTCCCCCATACTCCACTATGGGTGAGCCACTCTTCCGCTCATCTTCACAAGTCCATTGTCACCACAATGGACGGCAAGCTTCAAGCACTTGATCTCTTCATGATGCATCACTAGAACTTGCCCACAACCTAACCCCACAAAGAACTCTCACGAAGACCATGGGTTAGCACGCAAAGCGTAATGGACAATGCTTACCATACCATGTGATCACTTGATCCCTCGGTACATCTTGTGCGCTTTGTGTGTTGAATCTTTCCAACTCTCTTCATTTGGATGATGTCTTGAAGGTAGACATGAATGATCACACAATTTTCTTCTTCAAGACATGCTTGCAATAAGCTCAACACTCACATGACCGATGTTTGGATAATTCCTTAAGAGCACCGTGGTCATCACAAACTCTCCTTGAAACCAACAAATGGACTCCAAGAAAAGCCTATGGACAAACACTTCAAATATAACTCAAGGCAACCATTAGTCCATCGAGATTGTCATCAATTGCCAAAAACATACATGGGGGCACCGGATGTTCTTTCAATCTGCTTGTCGCCAACACAATAAGCTCTTCACTTTTTTTTTTGGAGGCAATGAGCTCTTCACCTTTTTTTTAGGGGAATAAGCGCTTCACTTCACTACACCCTGAAAAAAGAAGTGTTCATCCGTTAAGGCCCAGGCAGGCTTCTATGGGCCCAAACGAAAGAAACAAAGACCACCAATTTAGGCCCAGCCCAAACGATTCTCCGCCCACACCATATCACCATATTTAGACTCCACTCCTCACTCCATCCAAAACCCTAGCACCCGTCCCGCCGCCGCCGCTGCCGCTGCCGCCCTGACCCTCGCCGCTGCAGCAGCCACCACCGCGCAACCATGGTAATCTCTCATCCCTCTCCCTCCTCGTCGTGTTCCTCTGCACTCTACGCCTAGCTGACACCGTCCGTTCCCGTCGCACCCAGGGTATCGACCTCGTCGCCGGCGGCCGCAACAAGAGGACCAAGCGCACGGCGCCCAAATCCGACGATGTGTACCTCAAGCTGCTCGTCAAGGTCAGTCCCCCTTCGATCCGGTGTCACCGCATCATCCCCGTCCACTGCTCAGGGATTCAGATTTACCGCAATTCGCTTTCCTGTTCGTAGCTCTACCGCTTCCTGGTGCGGAGGACCAAGAGCCAGTTCAACGCCGTGATCCTCAAGCGTCTCTTCATGAGCAAGACCAACCGCCCGCCGCTCTCGATGCGCCGCCTCGTCAGGTTCATGGAGGGGAAGGTATCCCTCTCTCCCGGTGCCATTTTTTGTATCTTTGGTCCGGCTGTATCCATGTGAAGCTTACCTGGGCGGTGTTTGTGGTTGTGCGAGTGCAGGCGGACAAGATCGCCGTGATCGTGGGCACCATCACCGATGACCAGAGGGTCTACGAGATACCGGCAATGAAGGTGGCCGCGCTCAGGTTCACCGAGACGGCGAGGGCCAGGATCGTCAATGCTGGTGGCGAGTGCCTTACCTTTGACCAGCTCGCCCTCCGTGCTCCGCTTGGACAGAACACGGTATGGTTTGAGTTCTCCTTTTTTAGCAACTGTATTTGCTAGTAGTGCTCTTTGATGCATTTCATATTGTATGAGTTAGTACCCAAAGATTTACAACCGATGCACGCAATTCTATTTGTTTGGACTATTAAGCATGCTAGACTCCTGTAGGTGGAGAAAACCAAGTTTATTGTTCATGCTCATATTGTGTTGCAGATAAGACTTTTATGTGTAGGTTGTGGTAGGGTATTCAAGAAATGATGTATTATTTTTCTGATTCATCAGTCTCCCTCTTCTCAGGTGTTAAGAGTACAAATGAACCAAGTTGGTACAACTGTCTAAATCTTTATGGTTTGTTTACAGCAGATTGCACTCTTTTCATGTTTGTGCTGGACTGCTGGTGTCAAATTTCCAAGCAAAACTAACTTGCTGATAATTGTTAAACTAATACTCCCTCCATCCGGAAATACTTGTCGGACGAATGGATGTATCTGGATGTATTTTAGTTTTAGATACATCCATTTTTATCCATTTCTCCGACAAGTATTTCCGGACGGAGGGAGTATATTTTTTCACTAAGACAGTCAATCTCAACGGTCAAATGTGGTACATATGCTTATTTTATGGTAGTAGTTGCGTTGTTGGTTATGAGGTCTTGTCTGCTTTATTTTCCTTTGCTAAGAGTTGTCTAAAACTTGAATATCTTTGTCTTGGCATAAAGAGTAATGTAAATGTGTGTTGATTCATACATGATAATTCAGTGTGTGAATGTTCTTGCTGCTGTTCCTTCTTGACCTGATCTGTATGATTTCATTGTATTGTCACTATGGTGCCGTGTCTTTAGACTTTAGTACATGCTACTGAATACCGATGCGAGAATTTTTGACATTGTAGTTATGTAGAGGTATTTGCTCCGATTTATTTTATCCGTGATGATGGCTTCTCCCTTCCCATAAATTAGCGATAACCTCAATATGAGCTGCATGTCTTGAGGCATTTATTCATGCTATGGACAAACCATTTTAACAAATTACATTTTCTTAATAGCTTCTCCTGAGGGGTCCCAAGAACGCCAGGGAAGCTGTTAGGCACTTTGGCAAAGCTCCAGGAGTGCCACACAGCCACACCAAGCCATATGTCCGCTCAAAGGGCAGGAAATTCGAGAAGGCGAGAGGAAGGAGGAACAGCAGGGGATTCAAGGTCTAAGATGTGGAATTTCTGGCGCACTTGTGTCATATTTTGCTATCATCGGTTTATCGTCATCTTTTTGGGTACCAGAATATTACCGCTTTAGATGTCAGTGTCTTGTGTCAACGAGTATTCAGAACCAGTTAATTTGTGTTTCATCATTTTGCAACTTGAGAGACCATGCTTGCAAGCCAGTTATGAATATCATTTCTAGTATCAGAAGTTGTCTCCGTTGGCACTGTGGTTGGTGTTACGCTGCTTGTGCTCATTATTGCGATGTTCTACTTTTCAAATGTAACATTTTCAGTATCCGTTAGACGATTTTTGGCGATTCTCACTAAATTGGCCACGAGGATGGCTGGCATCAGATCCGATGACAGTGGCCGTCAAAAACAAATCATAATTCATCAGAAGCTTAATAATAAGTAGGTAAAGGCAATATTACATGCAAGCAGAAGAGACCAGTTACTATCTATCACATAGGCACTTGGGTGTTGATGTTGTCAAAGTTCCAGAGCTCCATCCCGGGCTCGTCATGATGCGGCAGCTGGTGAGCGTACGCCGCCTCCGGCACCGGCGCGGTGGCTTCGGCCATGTAGGACGGCTGGTGGAAGAAGCCGGCGACGTTGTAGCCGCCGTTGGCAACGTCGTAGTCGTCGAGGTCGAGGGGCGGGTCCTCGTTGGGGAAGTTGACCTTGGCCTTGGTCCCGCGGATGCGGCGGGCGGCGCGGTCGTAGGCGCGCGCGGCGCCCTCGGGGGTGGCGAAGGTGCCGAGCCAGACGCGCGCGCCCTTGGCCGGGTCGCGGATCTCCGCCGCCCACTTGCCCCACGGTCGCCGCCGGATGCCGCGGTACATCGTCTTGCGCTCCCGCTTCCTGCTCGGCTCCTCCTCTGCCGCTGCACGTACAAACGCCGGCCGGCAGAAAATGGTCACGGTACGCTCGGGCACACAGATGCAATGCAAAGTACTTGGCCTGTGGTAGAACCTGATGGTAATAGCAGCTGACTGACGTACCTCGGTGCTGGGGAGGGAACGAGCGGGCGCCGGTCAGCTCGTCGGGGTAGAAGTCGTGGTGGTCGGTAGGGTCGTCGAACGCGGCGGCATGCGGCCAGAAGTCAGCGGTGCAGAGGCCCCGCTTGCTGCCGCCGCGGTGGTCGCGCTCCGGGGTGAAGTCGGAGATGATCGCGCCGCCACACATGATGTACGCTGTTTAGTGAGTAGATAGAGGATAGCGCTGATGTGGAGCTCGGCGGTACTAGAAACTTATGAAGAAAGATGGTGCTGGGGTGGCAGAGGAGGTGAGGTGAGAGGTCGTGTGCGGCGCGCGCTTAAGTAGAGGAGCCGCGCGAGTGAATTCCTCGGGGGTGGAACGTGACGGCGGCCGTCGGCGCAGCTTCCTTCCTCGGACGGGCGAACCGGTGGACGCCGGGCGCCGCTGTTTTTCCTCGGGCGGTGACCGTGAGACGGTGCGTCGCGTGCGCGTGATCCCAATCATCTGCTAACCATGCCGCCTTTACTTCAGATAGAATTAACAACTCGCTGGCCTACGAGCCTACGACAGTCTCGGACCCCCGGGTTTCACCGCAGACGCGTGGTCTGATCTGGTCTGGCGTGGCCGCCGCCTCTGCTTTGCTCTGCTTTCAGGAAGCCCTGTGCGAAGCCGCCGCCGCGCCATGCGTGTTGGCAGCGATGCGTGCGCCGGTGAGCAGTGGTGATGCACTGCTGTCCTGCCGGATCGAACGCGTAACCCGGCGGCGGCCCACCGGATGCCGGCGTGGCCTGTCATCCCGTGGACGGTCGTCTTCGCCCTTTGTCTGACCTGGAGTCCGTCTGACTTGACGGCGAGGCTCGCGTCGCATCGCATCGCTTAATTGCACGTGCTATACTCGCTGTCCTTGGAGCAAGTTATTCACATTTTCTTCAGCAAGCAAACGTTAGGGTCTGTTTGGTTTCAAATAAGTCACCAACTTACAAGTCGAAAAGTGTAAAAAGTAACTTATTTTATCAAACAGATCCAACTTATAAGTCACCTCAACTTATAAGTCATAAGTTGCTCCACCTCAACTTAAAACTTATAAGTCACCCCCTTTTGCATGGGTCCCGCCACTTGCATGATGTTGATTGGTGTGGGAAGGTGTGAAATGTAACTTATAAGTCAGGTGACAACCAAACAGATGTGACTTATAAGTCACTGGTTTTAAATCACCTGACTTATAAGTCACCTGACTTATTGGAACCAAACAGGCCCTTAGGCCCTGTTTGATTCCAAATAAGCCACCAATTTATAAGTCAAAAAGTGCAAAAAGTAACTTATTTTACCAAACGGACCCAACTTATAAGTCACCCTAACTTATAAGTCATAAGTTGCTCCACCCCAACTTAAAACTTATAAGTCACCCCCTTTTGCATGGGTCCCACCATCTTTACATAAAAAACAAGGTGGGAAGATGTGCTCAGGTGACTTATAAGTCAAATGACAACCAAACAGGCGTGACTTATAAGTCACTGGTTTTAAGTCACCTGACTTATAAGTCACCTGACTTATTGGAACCAAACAGGCCCTTAGGCTTCTCTACCTTGACGAAGCAAAGGCACCGAGGAACAGTGCCTCTACCTTAGTTGGAGAGCCGTTGGATAAAAAACCAAGCATCCAGATCAGATGAAGCACTGTAACATGCAACTATTCACGTGGTTCTGTTTAGATCACTGTTTAACGGGTACTGTTTAGGTACTGTTCCGTGGTCCTGTTGGGTCAGATCTGGGTGGCCCATTCTTAATCCAACGGCCGAAAGTCTGGGAAAGGTAGAGGCACTGTTCCTCTCTGCCTTCGCTTTGGCATGGTAGAGAATCCACAGCCGTCATAGTGGAGAGTAACTTAGACTAGTAACATGCATATAGTGAGTAGTGTCATAGAAATGGTGACATCTTGAAAATCACTATGTGATGATAACATATTATGTTACTTTATTTATTTCTTTTCTCATTAACTACTTGCCACATCATCATTTTTGCTTAGGTGGCATCTACTCCCTCCGTCCGAAAATACTTGTCAGAGAAATGGATAAAAGTGAATGTATCTAGAACTAAAATACATCTAGATATATCTCTTTCTCCGACATGTATTTTCGGACGGAGGGAGTATGTTACTACCTATATCACTCCCACTATGACCAGCCTTATGTACAACTCGGCACCGTCTCTTTTCTTTTTACTATGCGTATTAGAATGATTTGAAGTCAAACTTGGTTTCGAGGGAAAACTGTATTGGAAAATACCCACATCTACAATACCTAATAAATATAACATAAAAATATATAGCTAAAAAAAACATAAAAATATATTCCATGGTGGATGTAATGATATTAATGTTGTATTATGGATGTCAATATTTTTTTATAAACTTGGTCAAATAACAACTGTGAATGTAGCAATTAATGCAAGTATTACGCTAATATAGCCTCTTTCTAGCCGCCGCCTCCTCCTCCAAGAAAAGCTAGGGTTCGTGCCTCTCGCCGGCTTCGCCGCAGGTCCGCCTCGTCTCCGGTGGCCCTAGGGCCATGGGGGCGTGGTGGATCCTGGCAAGGGCCGGCGGGAGGGCTCCGTTGTTAGTTGTTCCTTCAAAATTTGTTAGGGTTTGTGTCCTACTCAGGAAGACGAGACGGTGGCGGCTCCCTGAAAATGGAATAAAGGTCTCCCCGCCTAGTCCCCGTTCCGGTGGTGCGTCTAGCATCGTTGGTGGGCGTGTGGAGGTGTGTCTCCGGCGGATCTATCCTCGGTGGATTTGCTCGGATCTGGTTGTGGTTCGTCTATGTTCGTGTGTCTTCAGGTTGGATCCTTTCGATCTACGTTATTCTTCATCAGCGGCGGTTGCTGTTCTGGTGCGCTGGTCCTACGGGGCCTTAGCACGACGACTTCCCGACTGTCTACTACAACAAGTTGTGCCCGACTCCGGCGAGGGAGGGGTGATGACGGCGGCGCGCCTTCGGCTCGTTTCAGTGATTGTAGTCGTCGCTAGGTGGTCTACGGATCTGGATGTAATTTTTATTATTTCTAGTGTTCGTTGTACTGCCGTGATGGAAGATGAATAGATTGAAAGTTTTCTCGAAAAAAACAACAACTGTGAATGTATCGATGCCTCCACACATGTTATGCGTCTCGGTGAGGCCCACACACCATCCTCCCTCTATGGTCAGCATGAGAATCCAAGCAAGTCGGTTTTTTTTACCACGATCTGATCCTTCATTCTCCCCCTTTCTTGCAAGCTGTCACCCCAACCTCCCCCTTCTGCCTCATTGCGTTGAGGCTCCAAATTTTGGGTGGATGTTGCAAGACCGGTGGTGCGCCGTGCACACTGCTCGGATGTGTTGCGAGCCTGTTTCAGCCATGTCGTGAGGCCAAGGCCAAGGCCTTGCCATGAGTCTATCTTGACCACTCTATGAGCGGCCTTGTCGGTTGGCTAGCGAGGTATTGTTGCAGAGGCAACACTACCTAGGCTACTACCACTGTTGCAAGTTGGCGGTTGAAGGTGAGTTGCGACGGTGCCCACGGGATGCTGCGACCAACGACAGCCGTGTGGAAACCATCGTCGGTGAAGCATCGATACTTTGAGTG